ACTTTTTAATCTTTTGTTCACTAGCATGAAAATAATAAATTCCCTGGTTCCTTTTTGGATGCACTCTTCCTTTAATGCACTCGGTTTAAACTCCACTAAATCAATCAGCTGGACTGATCCAGAGTCAGCGCTCAGCTCTAAATGGAAACAAACAGCTGATCTGGAACCAGCGCAAATGGAAGCCATCCTTTATTTCAGTGAGTGCTGATAGATTTAATCCCAAAGCCTCTAGTTGCAAACGGTGGCCCGTGTTTGTCCTGGCTAAGTGTGCACAACAAATAAATTGAAGCCATAAAATCTTGGATATGAAGAAGCGAAGAAACCTTACTTCAGTGTGAGGAAGCCTTTACCAGGAGGTTGCTTATCAGGATTACCTCGCATTCATAAATCAGAACGGTGCGACTTGACAACTTTTGTATCATTAGCTGAAAACGCTCAGGTTTCAATCTGAAAAAAACCATTCCATCTGATGAGTCTGATTGATGCAGAGGGGACAGTGAACCCAGAAAAGCCGTGCAACTCAAAATAATCAGAACTGGAGGTGAGTTTACTGCTGTCACGTGACATGCAGCTTTGACATTTCAAATGCAAGGATTTCTTGCTATCTCGGATTGTGTTTTCCGTATCTTCGAATTTTTTTCATATCCCGAAGCAAAATATTTTTTGAAACACGTGATGCATTCGCATCTAGAGTTACTATTGTATTTGGCAAATGCCTTTCCATGATGGTTTATGCAGTTTTTGTCTCATCAGATTCAAAGTTTATTCTACTCAGTGCATTTTTTAGTTACCATTCAGTGATTTTTTATGCAATTTTCCGAAATAGGTGGATGGAACCGCAGTTATGGTCGCTCACAAAATCAACTGCGGGAAGGAACCAGGAGCAGTAGTGAGTAGCAATCCAGAGTAAACGACATGCGGAGTGAACCACGTGATGGTGAAAACCCAGACGAAACAAAACAATGAGTCCAAGAAGGCAGGAGGCTTTCATGGAGAGTCAGGGTGAGAGCCCTTACAGTTAACAATGTCCCAGGCCAAATTAACCAAACACAGCTCTCACATTCTCAATCGTTACCGCTCCTAATCCGTGCACTTTACACTCGAACAAACACCAAAACAGAGCACTCTCCAGAACTGATTACTATTGTGAATGAAAATATCATTACAATTTCAACTCATTACACTTGCAGAAGTGTAATGAGTTGAAATTGTAATAGCTGTCTTCCTTGTCTTCCAACAAATTTACTCGTGGACTGGCACCACCTACTGGCGGGAGCATCCTGTCTTAACAAATTTGCAGATCTCTCTAAAATGTAAATAAAATCATTTTACAGATCGCACGCTGAAAGTGTAGCAAAAAGCAGGTGTTCCACACCCAACCAGGAGCCTGATAGTGCATTTGCAAATCAAAATACACATTTGCAGATCTTGATGCCCATTTGCAGATCGAAACACACATTTGTAAAAAACATTGCTGCTATTTTAAACCAATATTGCTAGTTTTGATATTTTTAATTAATAACACTTAATTTGCAAGGAAATTCAAATTAAAATGTGAGAAAGTGAAATTCGTCTTTCAGTTTCACTTTGCAGACCTGAAATCTGTGCCATCCAGTGGTGAAAAGAAGGGATAATCCTTGGAAGCACAATAACATGTGATATGGTTTGTGTTTTTCAAAGTTCTCGCACACAAAAAAAAGGAAAAACAAAGGCACAAAAGGTGCTTGGAACAGTGTTTAAGGTTTAGGGAATGTTTGCCTGTGTTTGTTTATATATATAATATCACATCGTGTTACCTTGTCTTGGCTTTTTGGAGGAGTTTATGAATTTTTTGTTGCATCATTTTTAACACTTTAAAAAACCATTTTTTTATTTTGCAATCCTCGGAATTGTATTTTTGCACATTTTAAGCTTTGTTGTGGAATAACTGTGTAATGTAATGAAAACTTATATAAAAGGAGGTGTTGAGGGATGTTATTTTCAACTAAACACGTTCATGTTTAATGGAAATTGTTAAAGCTTATACAGTATTGGGTTTTCACAATCTAATCTTACTAATCTAATTTGAACCACATTGCTGTGTTAATATTTGCACATTAACAAGTTTGAAAGCATCTGATTCACGAGCACCGTCTGCGTGTCTTCAAAACGTATTTGAGCTGCCACAGTGTTCTATTTATTTCTTTTATTGCAGAGAAACTGCTGCCAAATTATGGCTTGCTTTGCTGATTCAAGGCAAGAGTCAAGGCTGGAACGGACAGGAGGGTGCCAGAGACGCTTTTAACACACGCTGACAAACTACAGACACATTAACACAGCATAGGAGCTCACAGGGACAGCGGGGCGGACCACCATCCCTCATGATTTCTCCTTCCGAACCTCCATTAACACCCAGATGGAAAAATGCTGATGGAGGGAGGGGGTACGAGACAGGGGACACCTATATCTGTACACAAACCATTAAGCAGTCAGGTCAGTCAGCTTGTTCCGTGATGTCTAAAGATTCTTGCTTATTGTGAGAAATGGCTAGTGATGTCAATTATAAATGCACCATTTTAACATAGCAGCACACGTCAGTGTTGCTAAAAGTGTTTATCCATGAATCTCAATTTAATATATATCTAATCTCGTATCTAATTCAATCGATACACCAGATCAAATCGCCTGTAAATTATGAAGGACACTTTCCCCGAAACAGGGCTATAATTCAGATATTTTATGTAGCAACTGTTTCTTGATTGATGACATGTTTGGCTGTATCCTTAAACAGCAGAAGAAACGCCTCAGCATGGAGTCCCAACAGAGCAGGAGAAGTGATGGAGCTCATACTGAGAACTTGGCTTCAAGCGCTGTGTTTGCTTTCTGACATGGACCAGATGCTTCAAACATACACCAGCAGAAAAAAATATCCATTCTTGTCTATAAAACACTGTATTCCACTTTTGAAACAAAGCATGTGCGTGGAAATGGAAACATAATTGATCACGAATCAATCAGCGAGACAGTGTCTCCTAAGTGTCTCTTCAGTAGATTAGGAGCATCACCTGGTTACCTGAATTAAGGCCTCTACACCGAACTCTCAAACTGAGATCCGCACAAATCTTCAGACAGCTTCTTAGCAGGGTGCTGTTCGTTTGGGTCAGGGAGTTATTGATGCAATGACAGTCCCTGCCTAAAGATGGTGTTTGCGGTAAAACAGATGCTCACCGCGCCACAAGGGACAAAAGAAAAAAGAAGACGACAACGACAGAGAAGGAATCAAAGAACACTTAGATGAAATCAAAGAACACAAAAATCATGGATGTCGAGGGGTTTTTACTGTTGGTGGCTGATCTCAAGGAAATGTTTGCCAAAAATGTCAAGAAATAAATTTGTGACAAGCTATTTCTTTCCAGTTTCCTGTACAAAGTCACTATGAAAATGTGGGATGAGCGCCACCAAGCAGTTCTTTTACATCCTACGCACATCATCAAAAGAGCCAGCTTTCAATTGTCGTTCTCCTTCACAAAAAACTAATCTGATATGCCAGGGCGAAATTTCGTTGTCACCACTTGTTTGTTCAGATGTGTGATCTCTCGTAGGTGCCCATAGTTTTCGATCGAGGTGTGACCTCGCACAAAAATTTCGGATTGAAAATCTGAGAAGCAAGGCAACAACACCAGTATAAGCAGCTTGATGAGAACAACAAAGTCTTTCTTTGCCCATACAAGATGGAGCTTCACTGATCATGAGAATGGTGAGGAACCAGCACAGAACTACCCTGAAGCATCTACTCAATGATTTTAACGTAGCTGGGACCAGAGTCGTCAAGAAGACAATTGGTAACAGGCTCCACAAAGCTTGTTTAAAGTTTTGTGGAGCCTGTTAACACTTAACATCTGAAAGACTAAAATAGTGAGAAATAGTTTAAGTGTTATGCTTAGATGAGACCAAAATCAAGCAGTTTGGAAGAGGAACACTGTAAAAAGTTAACTATAGCACCGTTATTGGTTGTACGGCAATGAAGAAACAATGTAAATTTTATGTTTTTTTTGTTTAAAACTGTCTAAATGTCACGGTGGCTAGGAGTAGGGAATTACTAACTATGTCTCTACACTTTTTTTACACAATGTTTTACCAACAGTACAGAAGAAAGACGTCTGTGCAGATGTGAGATGTACACAAAAGAGAGCACAGAGATCCAAGAAGCCAGGAAGCGCTCATGGAGAATCCGGGTGTGTGCACTCTCGGAGTGACATTGAGGAAGGGAGAAGTGAGAGCATTAAAAGAGGAAGAGAACTGATAGGATGAAGAGGAAACAAGGAGATTAGACAAGCTTGCTCCAGTACCTCGATGGTCAGGACCAGGACCTATTTGACCTTCCCAGTCATTGAAAATCTTTAAATAAACCTTTATTTACTGGCAAAACATCAAAGAGACAGTAAAAACGATTTTGTTTACAGCAGTGGATTAGCCAGACTCAAAACAGGTAAAAGTTGAACAACAGTGTGCAACAGCAGAGTTGAGTAAAGTTGGCTGCAGATTCCCTGGTTAAGAACTTAATAAATGAAGAACCACTCTGCTTCAAGTAGTGTACAAACTACAATGCTACTTTGTCTAAATATGTCTTCCTCTGTGTTCGCTAAAACACATTGCTGCTTTGCACAGCCGACTGATACAGGATCGCTTAGGGACTGTCTGCAAAGTGCCAACCCCACAATATTGACCAGAAAATGCTCCATTACGTCCGAAATCAAACCACACAACAGTGCTGAACTGCAGGTCGTACTAGCAAACTCAATTTGGGAAAATACGAAAACTTTGTATCTGTATATTTTAAAGTATTGATTAATTTGATTTAAGCTCAATAGCTTCTACATAAAACACTTTATTTCCACCAAATTCGGGTCAGATATCACTGTTCTATTACAACTCATTTTAGGAAAATTCAAATTCAAATATTGTATTTTGGTCATTATTTATATGGAATGTTGTGTTCAAAGCTCAATATATATATATATAGCTTTCCCTAGGATTTGAACCCATAACCTTTGCGTTGTTAGCGCAATGCTCTATACTTTATGCTCTATACCCAACTGAGCCACATGAAAGCTGTTGTCATGTCTCCTATATTGAACATAATACAGTAATGTGCTATTTTTTTCAGAGACATTGAAGGGGCCATGTACTGTCAAATCTAACAGGTATTTGTAGATGGATATTTCAGCACAACAATGATCTAAAACATAGAGTGGCTCAAGATGGAGCAGATGAAGGTCCAGGAGTGTTGTAGCCCAGCAATCCCCAGCCACCGACTCGTAGTTTATATTTACATTCCTCATGTATTGATTTTTAGAGACTGAACGTTACGTGTTCCTCATGACATATAAGACGTGTTAGTGTGTTAGTGACATCACAAGCATGAAAACCAGCTAAAAGTCATGATAACAATCCCAGGTCTTAAACCGATTCATAGTTACAAGTTGTATTTAACCTCAAAGGTTGCTCTGAGACATTTTTGGTCTCCTCGGATTTAAGGAGAGAGCTGAAGGTTGGACTTCAACAAGTTGGAGACAATCTGCAAAGAAAAGTCTAGCAAAGTCCTTGTTTCGAACAGCAGACATAAAATAAATGTGAGAAATGGAGAGAGATTGTTTACCCCCCTCCTCCTCCTCTCTCTCATTCAGAGAGAGAGAGAGAGAGAGAGAGGGAGAGAGACAGAGAGAGGGGAGGAAGCAGCTGAATAGCATCGTGATTTCTTGCGAGTGCAGCTGTAAAACAAACCGCTCCAGATTTCATTTTCTCCTCTACACTTTGGGGCACAAGGCTCTTTCTTCTCTGATTCTTCATCATCCTCATCATCACCACCCGAGCTATCTCTCTTTCTCTCCCGGGGGATTTAATCTGCTGGATGAGGAGACGGACGGGACTGGATTACAGCTTGCTTCAGTCGACTCGCCAAGCTCTGAGGTGAGACGGCAGCAGCTCCACATTCATTACATGACAGCACCGAGCATAGAAAGAAGATCCGAAATCAAAACAAGCTCATCATTTATGAAACTAATTCCACTTCAAATTAAAAATATTGCTATGAATCTGGACCTAGTAGCGACTTTTGTTTCAAGAAATAACTGAAACTTGCATCTTCTTTGGGACAGATTGAATGTTTTTGCTCATTTGAAAGTCTTATCGAATAAAAGCATCTTGTAAAGTCAAACATGTAAATGTTAAGAGTCAGAGAAGTTAATCAGTCAGTGTGTCTTTATTTATTAGTATTTATGGTCTATAAACAGAAAACCTTTAAATGCAAAAGCATTAGTTTCAAATCATTACAATTAGAAATTAAATGTAACAAATTACAAAAAAGCATTATGCAGATCATCTAAAAAAAATTTAAATAAACAACATTTAACAAAAAAACAAATGAATAATTAATTAGAAATAGTCTTTGAAACCCTTTTAGGATGAATTTCCCACACTTGATTACTGTGCTCTTACTGCAACAAATGATTCTTTTTTCTAAAGAGGAAAGATAAAGATAATGTTATGATGGATGAAATTTATGCAGTGAATCATATTTACAGTATTTAATTTGTTTAGAAAAAGACAAGATCTTGTTTGAACCGTGAGTGGCTACACTGTGGTACTCCCGATGGGTTCTGTCTGTGGTTAGCTGTATATAATAATAATAAACTTTTCTGGTTATTTTCTTGTCGGTTTTGAGAGCCTGTGGCTTCTCTGTTGGACGCTGCAGTGCTTTGTTGCTCCTGGCTTCTTAATGTTATTACACACTCACAGAGCGAGCGGCAGCCCTGCAAGGCTCTCTGGGTACTTTCTGATATTACGAGGCTTGGTTATGATTTATGAATCCTCAGAGCCGTAGCCTCTCTGGGGAATGACCCTGTTTGGAGTCCCGCGTGTATGAGGCACAGAATTCCTGTCCGATTGTTTCCTCTCAGCTGATGGAGACAGAAGAGTCATACTTTGAGTGAAGGAAATATTAAAACTAGTTTAACCTTCTTTCACGCTTCTTTTCTTTCATCCCAAGTTTTTTTTCCTTCCCAAGTTCCTTTCTTCTATTCATTATTCCACCTTTTCTTCCCCCCAAGTTCATTTCTTCCATCCACTTTTCGTTTACTCTTTACTTCTCTGGTTAATTTATTCTTTCCTCCCCAAGTTCATTTCTTCAATCCCATGTTCCATCTTTCTTTCCTCACCAAGTTCATT